TTTTTCGGAAGATACGCGTAAATCAGATGAAGAATATTATTATTAATTGTTTGATAATAAATATTAAACATGAATTTAAGCGGGAATCTTGTGAAATTCTATCTTCTCGCTTTGAGATTGCGTTTAGCTTTGGCCGTCAGCCATTTGGGTGAAGGTGCAAAGAAATTCACATGGATTTTCAGATGAAGGAAGATTTGGAAAGATAAACTTTAAAAAAAAATGTAATAACTTACACTTTTCTTTTATCGCTGAGATTACTTTGAAGTAAGTAAATATACGTTAGACACCATGGAAGAATGGCGGACGGAACTGGAAGAATGGCTAGGTACACACACACACACACACACACACACACACACACACACACACACACACACACACACACACACACAAATATATACATATAGAAATATATATATATATATAAAACCAAAAACGTTTGCGGTTTCTCTCTTCTTTTTAATATACACACTTTTCTCTCGTTAGAACTACTATAAACTCTTCCTTATATGTATATATATATATATATATATATATATATATATATATATATATATATATATATATATATAAATTCATATATATATATATATATATATATATATATATATATATATATATATATATATATATATATATAAATATATATATATATATATATAAATTCATATATATATATATATATATATATATATATATATAAATTCATATATATATATATATAAATTCATATATATATATATATATATATATATATATATATATATATATATATATATATATATATATATATATATATATATATATATATATAAAATTCATATATATATATATATATATATATATATATATATATGTTTTGAACAAAAAATAAACATTTTCATACACACTGTGTTGTATATTAGTCGCAGTTTTACAGGAGTGAATGACTGTTTCTGAAGAAAGTGAACTTTATCTGTAGTTTTCATTTGTTTTTATCGTTAATTTTGGTCAGTCCTTCTGTTGGTCAAACGGCCTCTTTGAAATTTTTTTTTATTTGTTAAGATAGAGGATGGCATATTCCTGACTAAGAATTCCCTCTTTAGTCATTTTAACAGTTTTATTCTTTGCTAGGAATGAGATGTGTGTGTTAAGTGTACGTTATCTTTTAGTTCTTTGAGAGTATGTTTGATGTGTATATGTTTGTGTGAGGGTGTGTATGACTGTGAAACCTTATATATATATATATATATATATATATATATATATATATATATATATATATATATATGCATTTCTTCAAACATTACGATACTAGTAGATACTAGTAATAGTGGATACTCATATTTGAAATAGACACCTAATTTTGACTTATTATAAAATATTATGTTTTATACATATTGTTTCAAAATAATATAATAAAAATGGAGCGTCTATTTCAAATACGAATATCCACTATAACAATGTTTGAAGTAATCATAATGTCGGGTAAAAAATAAATCCATTAATTCTTTCAAAATTACTTTGTTTACTTTTCGGACTTAGCAGATATGACCTTTTCGAGAAAAATATCTGAATGAAGAAATATGCTTTCCTTACAAGGGAGAATAGAACCTGTCGTACTGTGATATTCTCTGTAAGCAACACGGGTTTGCTCCTTACCAGGGAGCACATTTTTCTTTATTTAGAAATCTCGAATGTGTTGACTAATAGACGTAATATACACTGCTTTGGATCAAACTCGTCTTCTTAGAACTTGTCTTTCATGTACGGCGCATTAACCAACTGGGCTACCAAGGCTGACAGATTTTCTTCCTTGCTTTCTTTATACTTCTGTCAAATATATCTGTTTTTGTTCGTTTGTTTTCTTTTCGTGATTTTTTTTAATGTATATGTGTTTTGTGTATTTATTTATTTATTTATAGGCATTTTATAACTTCTTTATTTATTTTTTTTACTTAATCTTTTCTTTTCCTGCATTTTTGTTTGTGTCTTTCTTTCTTTCTTTCTTTATATATATATATATATACACACATGTGTGTGCGTGTGTGTGCTTTATTTGTTCGCTTCAACCTTTCTGAAATTTTAATTATTTTTTCATTTATGGTATGTAATCGTTTATACTTCGTTTATACTATTTTTTTAACCAAAACACACCCTACCACGCAATCAGTTAAATATTTAAAGTTTAGAAATATGTTTTCACTAACTCTAGCAAATTATACACACACACAAACACACACACACACAGAGAAGCATATATATATATATATATAATTATATATATATATATATATATATATATATATATATATATATATATATATATAATTATATATATATATATATATATATATATATATATATAATGATATATATTGACTCAGGAGGGTGATTCGGTGCAGAGATTATAATCTTGATGTTAGAGAAAAAGTTCAATTCAAAAAATCTTTGAAATCAAATCTAGTCTGCATATTTGCAAACTGGAGATATATCAGTATCAAACCAATTTAGAAGATTGTCGACGTATCTTGCTGGTTCCTTCATGACATTTCTCGAGGCTATGGGAGCTAACTTGGTAGTGCCCATCGTCTCATCAAATAACAATATACCGTATATGACGGCGTACAAGGCGACCTTTTAAGCTTACCCGCTACCACCCATAGGCGGGGTCGTCTTACACTCTAGGTATAAAATATGAACCTAAAATCCTGTAGCTTATAGTAAGTTGTTAGCGTGGGAGATTTTTGACGGTAGGCTAACTCCTTACCGCCTTCTTTTTCCGATTATGTTGAACAAAAACACAACTGGAGATTGTATCTCAACAAGCCGTTTAAAGATCGCTTTCGGGATCAGTGAAACGAGTGGATGGTTAGCGGGGAAATGTCATTCAGTCTACCCTAATAGCCGACTGAAAACACAGCACACACTAGATTATGGGAGTTAAATGACAATATTTCCCCCACAGTTTTTTTATTAGGATTTGGGTGAAAAGAAAGTATATGCTTACCGAATTTAATTAATAATTTCAATACATTTTAAAATACGATGTTTTAGCGGGGAGGGTTTGTCTTATATGGCGAATATCGCCCGAAACATAGATTTTAACTTGAAAATTTCGGTGTCGTCTTAAACGTCTTGTACGCTAGCATATGCGTTATACATTCTTTGCAGCGTCTGAAGACAGTCCAATTTTAATCAAGGCAGGGGGTTATTTTCGGACATTTCTGGATAATATTCCTGATCTAGGAGTGTTCGTGTTTTTTTTCCAGTATCGGATATCCTTTTCTGGCTTATTGAGGTCTGTATGATCTTTTTGAGGACTTTATGACCTTTTTGAGTTGAGGTCTGCATGACCTTTCAACTTAAGGTCCGTTTCTTCTAGTGTTTCACCATTATTATTATTATTATTATTATTAAAAATATTTTTCTTTTTCCTTTGGCATAGTTTTCTCAGATGTTTCTGTTATATTTTTATTTATTCATTGATTATGGAAAAATGCACATAGATATGTGCTGTCCTTATATTGCTTCTTACAGAAGCTCACTTCATGATAGTCGTACCTATCTAGTATTTATCTAGCATTTTGGCTTCATACACTATATTCTTTATCAAAGAATTCCCGTCAAATGGGCACTCCGATTCGTAGAAGGGTAATCTATTTCATAATTTGTTGATATACATGAACTCTGTATTTTGGTATTGAGAAATTGTGCCTTGGTAAACGTTTGTACATTTTAGCTTATTACATCGTACATATATTGTTGAGAAAATCTCCACCCAAAACAATCTAATGACGGCTCAGGCCGAAGAAAAGGAGCAAAAGCACTTACCTTATTAAGTTGCGAAAGAATATTCTTTTCCGCGACGTAACTTGACCGTGTAATAACTTGCATTGAGTAATATGTGAGTAAAAAGGAGAAAAAAACACTTCTCTTATTTCTACATCATGGATCACGTGGTAATAAAGTCACGTGACTCCTGAAACTATAAAAAGTTAGTAAGATTGTATCACTTTTAGTTAGAAACAACTCGGGTAGGCACATTGCTTTTTCTCCCGCCTGGACAGTCAATTTCTCCACAATATATATATATATATATATATATATATATATATATATATATATATATATGGCCGAATGTTTTAGAACTCTGGCAATGAAAACTGGGTTTGATTCTGACTATGGTTGCTTTGTCAGGAAGGATACTTCCTGATGTTATCGGAATGGATCGAGGTCGATTCCAGCGTGCCTCACCTTTGGAAAGTGCCTGAAAACCATACTACGGGTTGTGAATGAAATTGGATACACGGAACTCTTGAGAGCCGTCGATACCTGTGCTAGCACAAAGCCACAAATCATCGTGTCCGAGGGCTTGATCGTGCTGGCCTTGTTCAAATAGATGATCACGCTAGATAACACGCTCTCTCTCCCAGAAACTGTAACTAAGGTCTGCTCAAAATAGTTGCAGTATAAACCATATGGCGGCTCTATGGATGTTGGGCAAACACAAATGCGCCTGGGCGAGCGTCTGCAATAGGGATTGGCTAGCCACCTAATAGACGGGTATCCTCGAATACGAGTGGCCAGCTATTATATATATATATATATATATATATATATATATATATATATATATATATATATATATATATATTAAAAAAAAGAAAGAACAGTAAAATATATAATCCGGTGTTCTTATTGATATTTTTTATTCTTACAAAATAGTGCTCAATGTAAATTTATAGAGCATAAATATTATAAATTAATTGATTTAAAATATGGTACCTTTGGATTCCAAACTTCGCTTGAAGATGAAACAGAACTAATGCTTTTAATTTAATTATATATTTGAATTTGAAGTGTTTAGTTTCTGTTTTTTGAAACATGGTAATTCCTGTGTAGCGAAGGTACCATATTTTTAAATCAGTTATATATATATATATATATATATATATATATATATATATATATATATATATATTATCTTACAGGCAAAAACTTTAGGGATACTCTGCATT